ATTGCTGCCTCATTAGCATAACTGCTGCTAATCCCACCTCATTAATATCACAGAGGTAGGATCCACAACACACAGGAAAATCACATCAGATGACAAAATGGTGGACAATCACACAATACTGGGAATCATGGTCTAGCCAAGTTGACACATATTTTGGGGGGACACAATTCAATCCATGACAGATGTAAATACTACCCAAAGTGATGTGTAGATTTTATACTATCCCAATCTAATTTCCAACAGCCTTGTTTACAGAAATGGAAAAATCAATGTTCTTTATGTGAAATGGCAAGAGGCCCCAAACAGCTAAAGCAATATTGAAATAAAAGAACAAAGCAAAAGGATTCACACTTCCTGATTTTAAAACATATTATACAGCTACTGTAATCAAAACAGCCTGGTACTGGTATAACAACAGAAACACAGACCAATGGAATAGAACTGAGAGCCCAGAAATAAACCCACACATCTATGGTCAACTGATTTTTGACAAGCGTGCTAAGTTCATTCAATGGGGAAAGAAGAGTCTCTTCAATAAATCGTGTTGGGAAAATTGGATTTCCACATGCAGAAAAATGACACAGAATATATGCATCACAATATACACAAAAACAAATTCAAAATGGATTAAGGGCCTAAATGTGAAACCTAAAACCATAAAATTCTTAGAAGAAAATGCAGAGGCAACACTGTCAGGCCTAGTTTTTAGCAATGGAATATCTAAATATAATAAGAAAAGCACTAACAGCAAAATACAAAATGAATAAATAGGACCACATTAAAGTTAAAAACTTGTTTATCAAAAAGGCTTCACCAAAAAAGTGAAAAGACAAGCTACTGACTGAAAGAATATTTTCAAAAACCATGTATCCAATAAGAATCTAATAACCAAAATACATGTAAACCTTCAACAACTTAAAAATAAAAAGACAAATAACCCAATCGTAAAATGGGCAAAGGAACTGAATAGATATTTCACCAAAGAGGACATTCAAATTGCCTCCAAACACATGAAAAGGAGCTCAGTGTCATTAGCAATCAGAGAGATGCAAATCAAAATCATAATGACATACCATTTCACTCACACTAGGATGTCTAAGATTAAAAAAACAGAAAATAACACATGTTGGCGAGGATGTTAGAATCCTTATTCATTGCTGATGGGAATGCAAAACGTACAGCTGCTGTGGAAAACAGTGTGGCGGTTCCTCAAAAAGCTGAAAATAGAACTACCATATGATCCAGCAATTGCACTCCCAGCTATACATCCAAAAAACTTTAAAGCAGAGACCCAAAGACTTGTACACCAACGTTCATGGCGGCACATTTCACAATAGCCAAAAGGTGGAAACAACCTAAATGCCCATCAACAGATGAATGGATAAACAAAATGTGGTACGTACATAAAATGGAATACTACTCAAGCAGTAAGAGAAATGAAGTCTTGATACATGCTACAATATGGATGGATTCTATGGAGAAATCCTGATCAAAAGGAGGAAAATGAAGGACATCTTCACAGTCTCATGGAATACCGACTTTCTGGAGCTATGCAGGCTGGATGAACCTCTGAAATATCACCCTGAAATAATCTTTAAAACTAAAACCTTAAACCAAAAATATTGTCTGAAGTCTTCTCTAAACCAAACAATAGTTTAGCTTAACTAGTAGAGAATGTCTGCCTTGAGCACTGGATTCTTTTAACATCTATCTATATGGGATCAAACCGACAACAGCAACTTAAAAGATTATATACAAAACTTAGAGGGCAGTGAGTTTAAGTTAATGGCAGAGGAGCAAATTGGAAATGGAAGGTAAGACTGGTTGCATTAAAAAAAAAAAAAATGAAACAGGACCCATACCTCACACCATACACAAAAACTAATTCAAAATGGATCAAAGACCTAAATATAAAACCAAAAACTATAAAGATCATAGAAGAAAAATAGGATCAACACTAGAGGCATTAACACGATACAAAACATAACCATCAACACACAAACTCCAGAAGATAAGCTAGATAACTGGGATCTTCTAAAAATTAAACACTTACGTTTATCAAAAGACTTCACCAAAAGAGTAAAAAGAGAACCTACAGACTGGGAAAAAATTCTTGGCTATGACAAATCCGACAAAGGTCTAATCTCTAAAATCTACAGGAAAATCCAACACCTCTACAACAAAAGGACAAATAATCCAGTTAAAAAATGGGCAAAGGAAATGAACAGACACTTCACCAAAGAAGACATTCAAACAGTTAACTGACACAAGAGGAAATGCTTGAGATCACTAGCCATTACATAAATGCAAATCAAAACCACAATAAGATACCCTCTCATCTCAGCATTATTGGCACAAATCAAAAAAACAGAAAATAACAAATGTTGGAGAGGCTGCGGGGAGACTGGAACTCTTATGCACTGCTGATGGGAATGCAAAATAGTACGACCATTTTGGAAAACATATGCTGCTTCCTTAAAAAGCTAGAAATAGAAATATCATATGATCCATCAATTCCACTCCTAGGAATATATCCTAGAGAAATAAGAGCTGTCACACAAATAGACATATGCACACCCATGTTCACTGCAGCATTATTCACAATAGCAAAAAGATGGAAACAACCTAGATGCCCATCAACAGATGAATAAGTAAACAAACTACAGTACATACACACAATGGAATACTACTCAACGATAAAGAACAACGATGAATCTTCGAAGCATCTCACAACATGGATGAATCTGAAGGGCATTATGCTGAGTGAAATAAGTCAATCACAAAAGGACAAATATTGTATGAGACCACTACTATAAAAACTCATGAAAATATTTACACACAAAAAGAAACAATCTTTGATGGTTACCAGGGATGGGAGGGGTGGAGAGGGAAAAATACTAAATAGACAATAGATAAGTGGTAACTTTGGTGAAGGGTAAGACAGTACACAATACTCAGGAAGCCAGCACAACCTGATGAAGGCAAAGTCATGGAAGCTCCATAGACATGTCTAAACTCCCTGAGGGACCGAATTATTGGGCTGAGAGCTGTGGGGACCATGGTCTCAGGCAACATCTAGCTTAATTGGCATAACATATTTTATAAAGAAAATGTTCTACATTCTACACTGGTGAGTAGCATCTGGGGTCTTAAACGCTTGTAGGCGGGCATCCACTGGTGTCACCTCATCTGGAGCAAGGGAGAATGAAGAAAACCAAAGACAAAAGGGAAAGATTAGTCCAAAGAACTAATGGACCTCAACTACCACAGCCTCCACCAGACTGAGTCCAGCACAACTAGTGGGTGCCTGGCTACCACCACCAAATGCCTTGATAGGGATCACAATAGGGGATTCCAGACAGAGCTGGAGAAAAATGTAGAACAAAATTCTAACTAAAAAAAAAAAAAAGACCAGACTTACTGATCTGACAGAGACTGGAGAAACCCCAAGAGTATGGCCCCCAGATACCCTTATAGCTTAGTAATGAAGTCACTCCTGAGGTTCACCCTTCAGCCAAAGATTAGACAAGCCCATGAAACAAAACAAGACTAAATGGGCACACCAGCCCAGGGGCAAGGATGAGAAGGCAGGAGGGCACAGGAAAGCTGGTAATGGGGAACCTAAGGTCAAGAAGGGGAGAGTGTTGACAAGTCATGGGGTTGGTAATCAATGTCACAAAACAGTATGTGTATTAATTGTTTAATGAGAAGCTAGTTTGCTCTATAAACCTTCATCTAAAGTACAATAAGATAAAGGAGTATCGCCATGGGAAAAAAAAAAGAATAGTTGCACAACTCAAAGAATGTAACCAATGTCACTGCACTGTACATGTAGAAATTGCTGAATTGGTGTATGTTCTGTGTATATTCTCAACAACATCAATAAAATAAATTATGAAAAAAAAGAATAACAACAGTACCTATCTCATAAGATATGGTAAGGAAGCAATAGCCTATGTAAAGTAGTTAACTCAGTGCCTAGTGTAAAGTAAGTGCTCAGTATATGTTAGCTACTAGTAAATAGTTAATAATATAATAATAAAGTAGTAATAAAATTGCTACTTTACAAAAGTAGCAAACTGTCTTGACAAATGGTCATTTCTCTGTCAGTCTTTAGAAATGCCACATCTCTTCTAGAATCCAGCATTTTAAAGTTGTTGATATAAATTAGAATAATGCACAAAAGCAGCTATATCTGGAATTTAAAATAAACTCTAGAGTTTAATAAGGAATAAATGTTTCTATTGAAGATAAGAAAATATTTGAAATGCTGGGGTAGGTCTGCAGCATTTTGTGAAAATGTCACATAAATATGAATATGTTAGTAATCTCTGCTATTTAATTCTCATGATGTCCAGAGTTAACTCATAGCTAGTAATACACACTGGACAGAAAAAAATCCATCCTTCTCCCCAAATTTCATTTCAATCAGTGGTTTCAAGGTTCTGCTCCAACACCAGTGTCAATCTTAACAAACTAAGAACAGTCAGATTTTCCTTCCTGCATTTCTCCTCCTCTTCTTTAGAGATGGCAGAAAAGAGTTAGAACCATAAAAGGAAGGAAAAGGTTGCACAAAACATATGTCAGTACACTTTAATAAAATATTATTGGTGAGGCAGAAGGGCCTTTTAGAAAGACATTTACGTTTAAAAAAAGAAGATATAAGAAAATGCTCACTGTGCCCATTATCCAATCTCTATCTAGTAAAATGAAAAAGAGAGTACAAAATGACCGTATACTACCGCCTTCTGCTACTATAAGTATAATGGAATTCTGCCCAGGGAAGTCCTGGAAAGGCAGAAACTAGAATCAGGGTTACTGGAGATAGAAAAGACCCTCTTATAATTTCCTCCATCCATTCATTGTCTTTGAGTCCCTTAATCTGCTGCCTGAAGGAAAACTCTACTCCCATTCTTTCCTTTCTTTGAAAAAGAAAATATAATTGGAAATTAAAACAGAAAAAAAAAATTAAATTAAACACATAAGAAACCAGAACTTACAAACAATCATCTGTGCTTTCTGCACAAAGATTTGACAGTTTTCCCATCTCGGCAAACAATCTGTAGCATACAGTCTTTTGAATTCCCATCTGGAGGCTGAATATCTATGAAAAATAAACAGAGTAAAGGAATATTTATATACTTTTTCCTAAGGATGTTGTGATAGTTAAGAATGTGTGTCAACTTGGCTGGGCCATGATTCTCAGTGGTTTGGCAGCTACAATGTAGTTTGGCAGTCATATGATGATGTGATCACTTCCATGATGATTTTGATATAATGCTATCACCTCCATGATGGGATCTGCTGTGAGTAGCCAATCATTTGAAAGGGAGTTTCCTTGTGCATGTGGCCTGCTTCAAATATAACTGGACATTCTGGCAAGGCTTGTGGGCTTTTCTTCGCTCTGGATCCTGCAGCTGGCTCCTGTTAGTCTGACCTCCATTTCTTGTGACTTGATCTAGAAACTTACCTGTGGTCTTGCCTGCCAATCTTGGGATTCATCAGTCTTCACAGCCTGTGAGCAAGAGACCTGCTGTCTGACCTGCCAATCTTGGGTTCACCAGCCCCTGCCGCTACATGAATCAGGAGAGGCCTGTGTCCTGACCCATGGACTTGGGACGTTCCAGTCTCTACAATCACATGAGCCATCTCCTTGATATAAATCTCTCTATATACATATTTATATGCTTTACCGGTTTTGCTTCTCTAGGTAACCCAGCCTAAGACAGATGTCTTTCACAAATTCTAACATCTAACATCACTGACAAGCAAAGGACTAGGCTGAATAAATCAAGCACTACATCTGAGAAAGAACTCTTGGCCTGAGCCGAAAAGGTAGAAAGGAAAGGAAACAAGTATGCACATTAACAACACCTACAGCCAAGAAAACGTCCAAACTGAGAGCTACCAAAATTGGATGCAAGGTGGTGGCTCCCAGGGACTTGCCCAACACATAAATTAACAGTCTTTGTTTTTGCGACTAAAAGTCCACAGGTGCCACCAACTCTAATTCAAATGCAGGCTGAGTATACAGAAGAGAATACAAAGGAAAGTTGACTAAACTACAGACAAGTACTTCTGAACATTATAATTACAGTAAGTCCCCGGGTTAGGAAAGTAGAATTTAGGGACAACTGGTACTTGTCCTTTAATCTTATGTAAATTTGCCCTCAACTTTGAAATGATTGAACTTGCAACAAATTCTTCAACACAATTACCTTCACTTGTTGCACATACAGCTTTTAAATCATTGAAAAGGCTTTGCGCCTTTTCTTGCACAAAAGTGAGGCTAAATAAGAACTGTATGCACCTGTTCTGACTTACCTACAAATTCAACTTAAAGACTTAGGAACAGATCTCATTCGTAACCTGAGGACTGCCTATACATAAACATCTTTGTTCTGCTCTACAGAATTAAACACATGAATCACAACTGTTCTAATTAAACTTCCTGCAGGAAGAACAAGTTTATTTCAGCACGTCTTCTAGAGGCAATCCACACATCAAGATATACAGAACAGCCCAGACATTAGAAGAATATGCCTCCTCACAACAAAAAGTATTACAAAGCATCAAGTGACAAAAGAGTTACTGCTTTCATTCATAGGAAGCACCAAACCAATTTACGGCTTTAACAAAAGTAAAAAGCAGATTTTTAAAATATCTCTATGTACTAAGAGATAAGTGAAATATTTGAGGTCAGGTTAGATAGACATTTCAAAAACTGGTCCATGGAGACTTGTGTTTCAAAACTATTATGTAGGGGCAGGATGTTACAAACACCAATGGCTACTTCAAGCAGATACCTCACTTGTGACTCCCAAGTCCAATTAGCAGCAGAGCTAGTAAAACATCAGGTAATCTACATACACCATTTATTAGAAACAGAAATATCTTATGTTTGTTTGTTAAAATCTATTCCTTTAAAATCACTCTAAGGAATATCTCCAACAAACCAAGACATCACAGATTTTAAGAAACTGACAAGGGCCATCATAAAACAGATGCTAGTTACTAAGTCACAAAATCAACACTTTCTAGGATGGCCCCTTCTTTCTTAGGGTTTCCAACACTCTGATTCTTTAATCCTCTACCACCTTCTCCATGAGAAGGGAATGGACATGGACTGGTGGGTCTAACTCACATAAGAAAATTAATTTTCCCCAAACCATATAGTTCCTGATCTAAATGCCTGGGTTCCCACTGTGGTAAGCCCTTCCCAGATAGAACCTTTCTTTGGAATGTTAAAAGCAGAACATGTACAGAAGAGGATCCAGCTCCCATCAAGCGTAAGGAAGGGTAGATGACAGAAGTTGGCACAAGACAGACTTCCTTACCCCAACACTCATGCCCCATTCGGATGTTGGTGCAGTCCACTGGCATGTGGATTTCATCCACGACAGTCTGTCAAGTCTGGTCATCATAATAGATCAGATGGCCATCTGACCACAGGTCAAACTAGTTCTTTTCCCAGCGCTTCAAAATAGTACCTGAAAAAAAATGAGAAAGGTTGGCTTTGGACCAAAAGAACAAGGACTCTGTCCTCTAACACAAGGTAACAGAAACAAAGGAAACTTTCCTCTGGCCCCTTAAGTACACCTGCATAGGATCCATGCCCAGAATCCAATGCCCAGAGCAGTCAATCAGAATGGAAGTGTAAGCAAACTACAAGACATGTCAACCCATGCTGTGACAGGGCTGCATAAGGCACACATCAAAGACACTGATGACACAGTCAACCAGCTTAATTAAGAATTTAGGCTGAGGAGAAAATCCCAAAACATTGTTTAAGAAAGAGAAACATTAAATTCAACACAACCTTGATTTTGAGCTAGTAAAACATGTCTAACATTTAATTATCCATGTGGAGTATCTAAATTTTCCCAGTAGTACGTAAATTTGCTAGATTGGCCAGAAAATGTTGGACTATATGCAAATACCTACCAATAACACTTTCCTCTTTTAGAAAAATATCTTTTTTCCCTTTTCTTTAAGGGCTTTCACATATACTCTTTCTCAACAGTCCTTCCTCACAGCAAGCCCACAGCATGGGAGGTGTCTCCCTTCCTAAAGCAGATACAGAGAGTCAGACACTGAATAAATTAACAGAGCAGGACACCGGACCTCAGGGCACCTGAATCCTGTCTAGTGTGCATGCCACTACCTCACAATCTTCTGCAAATTTGAGAGAATTCATCCTTTTGTTTGTAATCTTGGGCCAGGCCTTTAGCTTTATTAAGGTGTAAATTCTTGGCCAGCCAGAAAGTAAAACCACTGCAGTGGACTAGGAGAACAGTTTTAGCCCAGTCATCACAGCACCTCTATTACATATAAACACTACCCAATGATTTACAAACCAGACTGCAGCTTTTGTTCCTATAGATCCCACTCTGCTTCTTGACAAATGTGCACAAATTCCATTATGCTCACTAGTGTTGTCAAGCAAATAGGCAACATCGGCCTCCTTAATTTCTTTTACGATTATCAGGTACTCTCCTCACAGGAGAGGCACCCATAGCATTTACCCAAACTGACCAGCATCCATTTGATTGGCAGTGCCGAATCTGGGCAGAAAATACCAAATAGTACCACCCACCCTAATAGACAGGTGGAATCACTGGGTTAGAACATTCTACCTAGGTATCTGTCACCTGTCATTGAAGCCCTGACTGCAGATTCCCAACCAGGATGCCTTCCAGAGATCAAATACTGGATCCTAGACATCTATGTGGCAAAGGCAGGAAAAAGTGTGCTGGGGGACCACTCTGCTCACATGTAACCCCATATATATCTCTGCTGCTCTGCATCTCAGTGTATGTAACACACTACACCTTATTTTATTTTATTGTGATATTTCTGATTTCATCAAAGAGGGAAAATTAACCCACATATCTGGGGATAAAATATGGAATAAGTCTTCTGAACATTTCAAAGAGCCATGAACCCAGACACTGGAAAGTATGTACAGTTTATTTAAAGGATGCCTATTTTATGTACATCACTGTGCTAGGCACTGATGGAGAAAACAAAATTATCAAAATGGTCATTGTTCACTTACGTCAACAGAGCATTCACATCTAGCTGTACTGGAAAAAGAAAATCTTGACCCCCAAACAAGGGTACAGTAGGCCCTAAGGAGAAAAACCAAAGGACATCTGAAAGGCCGGCAAAGGAGGGCACACACTCAAGGCCTGAGCAAGGCTCCCCACGCACTGTAACCATTTTGAAGAGACGGGGACCACAAACCCAAAGCAAGGAAACTTACACAAAGATTGGCGCTGGACTCCGATATGCCAGGGCTTTCTTTTTAAACTCCACATTACAATGGCTATATGTATTCAAAGAATAGTAGGACTGACAAAGACCTTGAGTATTCACCCAAGTCTAGGGATATAGTTATGGGAGAGACAGGCCTGAATTTAAATGTGGATGGTTTATCACTCACTGTTTATACTTAGACAAATTACCTAATATCATTAAACCTCAATTTCTTTAACTGGAAAACTGGGGTAATGCCATCTACCAAACAGAGCTACTGTGAGAATTAACTAAAGAAAATATATTTAAAACACAAACACGCTCCACAAACAATAGTTCTTACAAACCATCTAAGGCAGGCAGTCCATTTTTCATTGCTAGTCTCAACTACAGCTAAGTTCTGAAGTTATCCCTCAAATATAAATTCATGTCTCTGGACAGAGTAGCAGGGGCGGGGGTCTGGGGGCCATGGTTTTAGGGGACATCTAGGTCAATTGGTATAACAAAGTTTATTAAGAAAGTGTTCCGCATCCCATTTTAGTGAGTGGCATCTGGGGTCTTAAAAGCTAGCGAACAGCTATCTAAAATACATCAATTGGTCCCAACCCACCTGGAGCAAAGGAGAATGAAGAACACCAAAGACACAAGGAGAATATTAGCCCAAGAGACAGAAAGGGCCACGTAAACTGGAGACTCTATCAGACTGAGACCAGAAGAACTAGATGGTGCCCAGCTACCAACAATGACCGCCCTGACAGGGAACACAACAGAGTCCCTGATGGAACAGGAGAAAAGTGGGGTGTAGAACTCAAATTCTAGTCAAAAGACCAGACTTAATGGTCTGACTGAAACCGGAGGGACCCTGGAAGACATGGCCTCCAGACTCTGTTAGCCCAGAACTGAGACCATTCCCAAAGCCAACTCTTCAGACAAAGATTAGACTGGACTATGGGACATAAAATGATACTCAGGAAGAGAGTGCTTCTTAGCTCAAGTAGATACATGAGACTAAATGGGCAGCTTCTGTCCAGAGGCGAGATGAGAAGGCAAAAAGGGACAGGAGCTGGTTAAACGGACACGGGGTATCTGGGTTGGAAAGGAGGAATGCGCTGTCACATGATAGGGAGAGCAACTAGGATCACATAGCAATGTGTGCATAAATTTTTGTATGAGAAACTGACTTGAACTGTAAACTTTCACTTAAAGCACAACTAAAAAAAATTCATGTCTCTGAACAATAAACAGTATGTACTACAGCTCAGTTTTCTGCTAGAGTAATAGATGTAGTAATCATTTTTCCCTTAATTCTGCTCTTTCTAGAAGGACATCAGACCAATCTGCTTACTCTTCCCTTAATAAAAAAGCTAGTTATTCCTGCTTTAAAACAGACCATTTAGAAGGGCAGCCTCAGAGATAAACAGACAGTATATGAAAGATAGGCCCACAGAACTATATCTAAGAAAGTGGATCTCAATCCCACAAATAAAGCATCTAGTCTCTTCTCTAGAGTGATTTTGGAGATGCAAAACAGAAAACAGGCTTGGTTTTAGATAAACTCATTCCCTCAAGTCAAGTCTTCATCCCTATAATTACAGACTCTAGTATTTCAGACTGAGTCACTGCTCAATCCTCAGATAAGACAGGCATTTCCCACACCCAAAGAGACCAATACCTCCATGCCAATATGTCAACTAGGCATGGTTAGAGTCAAGGAGAGCCTCTGGTCAGCCATTAATAATAAAGTTAGTGAGGAAAAAGAAGCGCACCCAGGAGTTGTTCCCTGGGTGGGTGGAGAAAGGCAGTTTATAGAGCTCTAAAAATTTCCAGGAGGAAATTCAGGGCACCAGCGTTAATAATACTTTACTTCAGGTAGGCACTGCAGAATGTATCATGGACATGAAGCAATGCATACCTGTATTTGCTTTTAAATGTGGTTTGTTTCAGCAAAAGGAAGTGAAGATGTGTCCTAAGGCAATACTAAAAAACCAAAGCAAGGTGCTCAAGTCCTGTACTCACTCTGCCGTAGCAACCATCCACTCTTCACAAACGCCATCTCTTGACCTACAGGAGGAGAAACAGCCAGTTTCAAAATTAAACCCAGAAAATAATGACCCATCTGGTCCATGTCCCAATCCTCATCCCTTCCAGTGCAGCTGAGGGAGGGCCCAAAGTCATTTTACCTCATTGGCCACCTGGCATTTACAGAATACCTCCTTAGTGAGGCCCAAACAAATACCCCTGGCCCTGCCTCCAGTCCTAGGCTTTAACCTAAGCACCCTGCCCACATTAGGAGTCTAACTCCATTCAGGAGACTTAAAGCAGCCCTAGGAACACTAAGATTTAGCTCTGTCAAGGACTTAACGCTTCTCATGATATGCCTGCGTCTTGGGATTCTGGGTCCAACTGCCTCTCAACTTTATCCCTGAAGTGCCCAGTTTGTTTATATGGCCCAGTCGGATGTGCACTAGTTCAGTAGGTTGAGTGGCCAGGTCATGATGGAAAACCAGAAGTCATGACAAAAAAAGTTTGATAAATTTAACTTCATACAACTACAAATCTTTTGTAAAGCAAACAAATAAACAAGCAAACAAAGGGTCAAAGAGACCAGTAACAAACTAAGAAAAAAATATTTACAGCTATTTGGCAGAAAACGAGCTAATTTCCTTCACTTATGAAGCTCACATATATCATAAAGAAAAGACAAAGGAAATAATTGAGCAATTTACAGGAAAGCAACACAAATGGTCAATAAACTCATAAAAAGTCCTCAAGTTCTCTCTCAATTCAAACAGACAAAAATCAAAACAAGGAGCTAACAATTTTACCTATCAGATGGACACATTACCAGCATTCCTGTCCCCTCCTGCCTTCTCATCCTTGCTCCTGGGCTGAAGGACGAACTTCAGGAGTGACTCCAGTACTGAGTTAAAAGGATGTCCAGGGGCCATACTCTCAGGGTTTCTCCAGTCTCTGTCAGACCATTAAGTCTGGTCTTTTTTTGTGGGTTAGGATTTTGTTCTACATTTTTCTCCAGCTCTGTTCGGGACCTTCTATTATGATCCTTGTCAGAGCAGTCAGTGGTGGTAGCTAGACACCATCTAGTTATGCTGGACTCAATCTGGTGGAGGCTTGGTAGTTGTGGTCCATTAGTCCTTTGGACTAATCTTTCCCTTGTATCTTTGGTTTTCTTCATTCTCCCTTGCTCAGATGGGGTGAGACTACTGGAGTATCTTAGATGGCTGCTCACAAGATTTTAACATCCCAGACACTACTTACCAAAGTAGGATGTAGAACACTTTCTTTAAAAACTATGTTATACCAATTGAGCTAGATGTTTCCTATTGAATGTTATTGAAGTTAGGTTGTTATCAATTTAAACTAAGTTGTTATACATTTAGGATATTAAATACAACCCCCACAGTAACCACGAAGAAAATATCTAAAAAAATATACACAAAAGGAAAGGAGAAGCGAATAAAAGTGGTTCACTACAAAACAGGGCTTCCAACCAGTTCAGCCATGGCCAACAAAGTAAAACAGGAACAGACCCGAAGTTTTACAATCTGGCAGATTCGGCATGGTACCCAGAATGCGAAAAATTACAGGTTGGAGCCCTGGAATGGAAGACTCAGAAGAGATGTAGTGAGTTCTTTCAGGAGCCTGATGCGTTAGACTGGATTACTGGCAGGACTGTAGAAGAGTGGCACACATTTCAAAGCAGTGCGGTCAGCCGCCATCTTTGAGCAGGGCAGCACTGCTTCCAGCTATGCTCAAAATCTGAGGGCAGAAGATTTGGTTCTTATGCAATGTGTATGATGCTCTTGTTCTCTAAGAGGCAGGTTAAGTTTCTAGCAGGGCTTCAACCTCTAATTTTTCCCAATCCAGCTATCTTTCTGGCTCACCGTAACTATAAAAATTTAGGTCTGTTCTGGTGATGCTTCCTCAGCCATAATTGAACCAGCAGAACTGGTTCAAAGCCCTGCTACAAAAACTCAACTAAACACAAATGATGGCAATATTGGAGAAAATGAGAGACAAAGAAGGTATAAGACACACAAAAACAAATAGCAAAATGGTGGAAGTAAGTCCTTCCTTATCAATAATTACCTTAAATGCAAATGGTTTAAAGTCTCCAATCAAAAGGCAGAGTAGTAGAATAGATTTAAAAAACATGATTCATCTATATGCTATCTACAAGAGACACATTTTAGGCCTAAATAGGTTGAAAGTGAAAGGTCGGAAAAAAATATTCCATACAAATAATAACCAAAAGAGAGCTGGGGTGGCTGTATTGATATCAGACAAAACAGACTTTCAGTCAAAATCTGTTATAAGAGACAAGGACATTTTATAATGATTAAAAGGTCAATTCACCAAGATATAACAATTATAAATACATATGTGCTTAACATCAGAGCCTCAAAACATGCATAGCAAACACTGACAGAATTAAAAAATTAAACAGTTCTACAATAGTTGGAGATGACAATACACAGATTTCAATAATAAACAGCACATATAGAAAGAAGATCAACGAGAAGAGATTAAAAATGGTTCACTACAAAAAATTCAGTTAAACACAAAAGGAGGCATTATTGGGGAGAGTTCTGGCAAAATGGCACTCTAGGCAGAAGCACCACGCCATCCCTCCATAGCAAAGATCCGAAAAACTAAGCCAAACAGAGAATACAACAATCCAGAAACCCTAAAACATCAAATGAAGAGATAAAGAACTCAGCCAAGCACCAAATGGAGTGAGAAAACTGACAGAGAACAGAGAGTGAGGAGAGATTCAAGCAGAGGTCCCCTACCAGCTAACATAGCACGGATCCACCATCTTGGACTCCTATCGGAGACCAGCAAAAGGGGGTACGAGAAAGCACCCTCACGGAGCAACCAACGGGAGACAAAACAACCATCTCTCATCTATCCATTCCAACACCAAGCTCCCCTAGCATTCTTTTTTGTATGTTTGTATGTTTTTGTCTCCTGTTCCTCTCTCCCATATCCATCTTAGCTCCACACATAACAATCTCCTTGCTGCATCCTGCCTACCTGCACCGTGCACTTGACATCACACCACCAAGCAGTACAGGCACAGCCTACTGGAACCTGCCCAGCACTGATTACCGACCCGCCCTGGTGGCTATAGTAAGTGCCACAAACAACCCATCCCAGTAACTCCTCTTCAGCTAGACCTTCCCTGTTGTACCATATCTGAGTGACTGAACCTGCCAGGTGGAGAAGGAGGTGAAAAGTATTGAGCGCACAGACGAGCACACAACAAAGAACACACAGTCCGCCTGCTCAGACATAGTCAAATCTTTTTTTAAAAAAAGGGAAGAAACAAAAAAATCTACAATCAATAAATGAGAAAAATAACTACTGAATGCCCTGAAAACAGCAGACAATATCAAAACATTTACAAAAACAGGACAGGATGGCTCCAGTAGGCGTCCAAAATAAAACACCAGATAACTCTCCTGTGGAAGAAAATGCACTAGAAGTACCTGAAAGAGAATTCAAATCTCTAATACTCGGAATTCTCCAAGAA